ATACTCCCCCATTCCTCTTTCCCCCTTTTGTAAACATATCTTCATTCAGTACATGATTATGAGTTATTTGCCAGTTATTTATCTGTAAGTTAATTCTCAGTTAATTGGATTTTATATTTAATTAAACAATTATAGTTTTTCTATATAAAATTAAACTGTGCAATTCGTATACTACAATTCTTATTTAAGTTCATGGCTTGCTTGTTTTGTTGCTTTCTCCCCTTTTTGGTTCCTGCCTTTTAATCTCTTATTCTGTATAATTGGTCAGTTATCTGCTGAGTTAAATTTTTCTATCCTCACTCTTGATAAATCTCTTAAATTTATCCAGTCAATTTCTTGTAAGTCTGGTTTCTTTTGACACCTTACCCAGTTGACCACCCTAAACATAGGATTCCCAGCGTCCCAAGCGTAAGTCCTAGTGAGATGCAGAAAAGAGAAAATAGGGAAACACAGAAAAAGGTATGTGTAGCGAAGGGTATNGTGGTGGTGGGGTGGTGAGGGTGGGGGTGATGGTGGTGGTGTGGTGAGGGTTATGATGGTAAATGTAATGATGGAGTGATTTCAAACACAATTTTTTTTAAAAAAAAAATATTTATGAGAAATAATTTTTAGAAGTATTTTTAAAAAATCATTCCAAACACATCTTTAAAGTCCTATTTTTCTTATTAAATTTGGAGTGTTAATATTAGCCGTTAGATTAACTTTAAAGTAAAATTTAAAGCGATCTGAACCGCGAATAACAAAAGTCATTTTGTTTATCTTTTAATATTTGAATTGTAAGCNGAGTAGAATTGAGCCGAGAAAGTAAGATTTTTTGCATATGGATTGACATTTTTTTTTGTTAGTTGTAAACAGGTGGAGCTACAATGGATTGCACTAACAAAATAATGTTGGTGAAGGAACTGAAGAAGAGNATTTTGTTTATCTTTTAATATTTGAATTGTAAGCTACTTTATTATATAAATTTGGAGATAAGTTCGACAAGAAAACTTATTTAGTTTTAAATCTATTTTTTGTCAAGTTTACTATTGTACCCCTACCCTTTAAAAAAGCAATAACCGATGTCTGACTTACCGTCTCCTTTACGTAAGTTAGATTATTTTTGCTGTATATATGAAAACCATTGATTGAGTTATACATGGAAACCATTTGTTAAATATTATGATAACTAACAAAAGTTATACATTCTGATAGTTATATGAAAGCTTGATGTACGAATAAATCATGGTCAATTAAATTAAAATCAGATCACAAAATTTCCTTAACAATTCAAAAATTCCTTAACATTAGTATTACTATAGTGATACTAATTTTACTATAGTGACACAAATGAGATTGTTTTCTTTAAAATACTCAATATCCAAAATAAAGAATTACACCATTTCAAACAGTAACACATACTCAATCCCAATTTTCACTTATACCAATTGCAAATCTTCAGATGTATATTATGTAACATACACATTTAATTTCACAGTAACATCAAAGGTTTGTGTTGAGTAACATATCGAATTTTACAAAATATAAGGCAATAAGGTTTTCACAGTAACGTCAATTTTCGAAAGATTATAGTGAAAATACGGTCCATAAATTAAAAATTTACAAAATTTCTAGTAGTAACACACTGTTGACAGTTGAATTAGGACACTGAATACCAATTAAGAACATCAAGACATTGAAATTCGAAAATCTATTTTTTTAATTATCACACAGTAACATGATCTATTTCACAGACACACAAACCAAGACATTTACACAACAAAGAAAATAACAACATCGAATTATATAACACTTAAATTTAGTAATAATGAATTTCAATTTTTAAATTAGGAATGCAAAAATAAAAAAAAAAAGACAGTTTAAACTATATATTCTGTAGAAAATTTTTAAAATCCTACTTTAAACATCAACTTTCATATAAAATCACATACCTTAACTCTATTTCTGAATCCCAAAGTTGTGAAGATGTTTTAAATGCAAAAAATGAAAAATAACTTTGTCAATGGATTTCACAGGAAACTTGAAGAATAAAATCAAAATTGAGATTGAGTTTGTGTTACTATTTGAAATTGTAGAATTCTTCATTTTGGGTATTGAGTATTTTGAGGAAAACAATCTCATTCGTGTCACTATAGTAACGCTAATGTTAAGAAAATTTCGAATTGTTAAGAAAATTTTATGATTTGATTTTAATTTAATAGACCAACGATTTATTCATACATCAAGCTCTCATATATAACTTTCATATAAAACGTCAATTAATTATCATAATATTTAATAAATGATTTCATATATAACTCAATTAAGGATTTTCATATATACCTCAATGATCTAACTTATGTGATTTTTCATAACTAAAGTATCTACATATAAGTTGAAACATGGATTTAGCCCTAAATAAATTCAATTCCAAAATTCAAGTTATTAGAAGTTCATCTAGGGGGACTCACCTTCAATTTTCACTATTCTTATTGATTGATTAATTTTGACCCACAATTCTCAGAAAAGTCTATGATATCAAAAAAAATTTGGTACCATATTACTGGTTATAAATTTTTATAGTAAAATTATATATTTAAAAGAAGAAATTACAGCTGTTCAAGGAAAGTCATGATCGATCACAGACAACCATGATCGATTATGAACTTTTGGTATCGATCTCAACCTCATGATCGATCATAACCTTTAAAAATTGTAACTTACGCCTCAAAAAAGTTATAATTTAACTTTAATAAGTTATAATTTTCAGCACAATACCGCTGACAATACCATAACCTTTCCAACAATTCTTAACATGATCCACATCCCCCCAAAAAAAAAACACAAAATTGACACAAAGAATTATTGAATGTGAGTTTTAGTCATAAGTTAGTAGTATTATAATCAGATTGACTCATGAGTACCTCTTGATTAATGGTTTATATTAGAGTTTAAGTTTGACAAGATACGACTTACACAAAGTTTAGACTCAACACAAATTAGATTTGACTAAGGAAATTCCTCCCAACACAATCCATCAACTTGATATAAAATATAAGTTTAAATTTAATAGATTCTTGTCGTAATTGGATTGATCCAACAGATGCATTAAATAAATAGTTCGATGAAATTAGCTAATTTTGTTACAACATGACTTATACAACTTAAATGTTTAATACCCGATTCATTATCAGTCCTACGTTGAATTTATTTGAAAAAGGAAAGAAAAAAAATAGGAAGATTTTTAGGACTTATTTGTTTGATGGGTATGGGTAGATATGAAATGGTGAATTTAAAAAAAAAAAAAAAGTTCAATGAACTATAAATCTAAAGAGTTGAAAAGTTAACACAGGTACCTTTAACAATTATAGATACCCAATTTTTTTTTTCAAATCCCTATCTACGAAAAAGGTCAATGATCCAAACATAACATGTTACAAAATAGGAAAATGTTATTTAGATCTAATTATCTCTGCCAGTAAAATTAAGCTATTTCAAACTTCAGTCAGATTTCTTGAATATAACATCCAACACTCAACCATTGTTCTCATCAACATTTCTATCTAATTTGTTGATAAGTCTCTTGATGAAATTAGAGACAAAACTCAGTTATAGAAGTTCTTAGGGTCCTTGAACTATGTTTTAAACTTTTACAAAGACCTTAGAAAAATAGGCAAACCCTTGTATGAGAGATTAAGAGATAATCTTCCTGCTTGGTCACCAATTCATACTTCCATAATAGTAGTAATTCAATTCTTGATTCCCTAACGCATGAATTTTTGCAAAATTTTCATGGCAGATAAGAAATCCAATAAACCACCTATATCTAGAAAAAAACCCGAAAAATACTATGGTAAACAGCTTGTCCTGCTAAGTCCAAGTTCAAAACCTAGTCACTTGCCACTCTTAGACCTAGTAAACCATTACTATATCCTTGGTAATATAGTCAAACCATTCTTTCAGTTCACCTTGGTAAAACCAAACCCCAGTAAATAGACCTTAACAAGCCCATATCCAGCCCAATCGATATCCTCCATTAGGCAATCCCAGTTAACAAACCCATATCTTATAAGATCAACACAGTCAACCTAAACCTATAAGACTGAGTACGTCCCAAAATCAACAATACAAAACCTATTCATTATTGAACCATTCTATGCTCATTTAACCAACCCAGTTGATCTAGTCAATGCATACCTTAAACCATGATAGAATTTCATTCCATTGGATCCTAAGTAAATCTTCTAGTTTTTATCAGGATATCCTGTTTCATACCTAGTCAATATTCATCAAACTTATCTTTGATAAGAATGATGATAGTAAATAATGTACCATTTTTTATACATTCTCAAGTTTATTTCAATCAAAGAATGAAGATCTCACCCTTCCTTGCTTAGAGATTTCCCTGGTCACATTAAGCAATTTAGCAACTATGACTACATTAAGTTATGGTTTAAATTGCTACTATATCAAGATGAGTCATATACTCATCGTTGGTTCTTTCAATTCACCAAGGATTTCAAGAGTCAAATTTCTTCTTGGTTCTTGCGGTGGTGGCAAATGCATGCCCCCATGCCTGAAATCGTCCCAATTGATCTTCAACATGAAGTTAAATACTTCTCATATGTTTTTAAGATTAGTCAACACAATTCATAGTTCCTTGCATCGCTCCTATTCATGAGTAAATACAATGTTCAGTGGATTCTGTAATGGCAATACTCCATTACTGCGAACACAGTTACCGTCAATTTTACTCTAAATGGTTGGGTTAAGTTCAAACACCAACGTATTATTGAACAAGTTAAAATAGAGTTTTTGGTAAAAGTTCCTATTCTAGTCACAGTTACAAGTACAACTATACCAATGGTAAGGTCAGCAACTCCAACACTCAGAGTCTCTACTCCATGTGTTTCAACATTTTTAATAAAACAATCTAAGGCTTCATCCAGGACTTCCAATAAGTCCCAGCCAAGGAAACCCTAATTAATTAAGTTAGCCCAACAGCTACTCCAGTTAGCTAGCTAGGAAGAAGATGATGGTTCATCCCACTTATCAGAAGTCTCAGTCAGCCAATTATAGGATCTGTTCCTGGACCTGAATGATGCATAAGATCTATCTAGTCTGTAGAACATCCACAGTCAAATTCCAATAAAGTTAAATATGTGTATAAAGGACTTCAATTACTACTTTTCCAAATAGAAAGAAAATTTATCCCTTTGTTATGCATGCTAGACACAGTAACCTTTTTTCCACCGAAAGAAGAAAAGTAGTCGATCAATAACAATTAAAGTAGCTAGTCAGCAACAGTCAAAAGGACAATCATTCTAGAAATTCTCTGCCAATAGCCTGCAATTCATCCAAGAAAATGCAAAGTAAAAGTAATTTCACCCGAATAAAAGCAGTCATCAATCAAAAAGACAATCATTTCAAAGATTCCAAGGGAAGCCCTTATGCCAATATAGAGGCGAGTTGAAGACTCCACACTCCATACTCCCCCATTCCTCTTTCTCCCTTTTGTAAACATATCTTCATTCAGTACATGATTATGAGTTATTTGCCAGTTATTTATCTGTAAGTTAATTCTCAGTTAATTGGATTTTATATTTAATTAAACAATTATAGTTTTTCTATATAAAATTAAACTGTGCAATTCGTATACTACAATTCTTATTTAAGTTCATGGCTTGCTTGTTTTGTTGCTTTCTCCCCTTTTTGGTTCCTGCCTTTTAATCTCTTATTCTGTATAATTGGTCAGTTATCTGCTGAGTTAAATTTTTCTATCCTCACTCTTGATAAATCTCTTAAATTTATCCAGTCAATTTCTTGTAAGTCTGGTTTCTTTTGACACCTTACCCAGTTGACCACCCTAAACATAGGATTCCCAGCGTTCCAAGCGTAAGTCCTAGTGAGATGCAGAAAAGAGAAAATAGGGAAACACAGAAAAAGGTATGTGTAGCGAAGGGTATGTTTACTCGTGGAGAACAAACCTTATAGAGAAATTGACTAGTTATATATATATATTTGGGTAGTCAATTTGAATTTATGCTAAATTTATGTTGTTTTTGAGGAATTTTGGGATGAATTGCATTTTTTTTGGGGTGGGGGTGGGGTTACGTAGTCTTTGATTTACTTTCAATTACCACAACACGGTGAGGTTTTTGATTATTATGGTATAGTGGTCAGGCTGAGAGCAGAGGTGAACAAGGTAGTCTTAGGAATTTTGCATTGTTTAATTGAGTTACAATGACCCATTTTGATTGTATCCTTGAAAATTCACTCACATTGTGCAAATTCGTATCTCGTTACATACAAATGCATTTATATTACGGTATGATTTAGTTTTGGTGTTCTTGGTGAGTAGAATTGAGCCGAGAAAGTAAGATTTTTTGCATATGGATTGACATTTTTTTTTTGTTAGTTGTAAATAGGTGGAGCTACAATGGATTGCACTAACAAAATAATGTTGGTGAAGGAACTGAAGAAGAAGATGCTTATAGTCCTTTTATTTTAGATGGGCGGTATCGAGCAATGCTCGAAGAACATATTTGTCACTGGATCACGAGGACCCTCTTAGATATGAAAAATTACACTAACAGTCCTTATTTGTGACGGACAATTAATAGACCTAACAGAAATTACAAAATAATTATTTTACACTTTCATTAATATTCATATCAAATATCCGATATCCATAACCATAATAAAAAAGAAACTTGGATGTTTTGATTCATAACTGGTTTGTCCAACCCGGGTTGGGTTCCAGACACCTTGAGATGATTTAAACTTAGTTTCTTAATGATGTAGCCTCGTGGGTTTTAGATAAGGTATCTAAGGGGTGTTTGTTTCCCAGGATTTTTGGGGAATTAGAGTGGAAAATTTGTTAAAAATGTCCGTGGGGCCCAAATATTTTTCATTGGGGTCCAAAAAATAGGATGGGATAAATGTTGAGTTTAAAAATATCGGCCGTAGGAATTGGATAATTTATCCCTTCTAGAGTGGATATTTTTAACCCATGGAGCGTGAGGAATAAATTTTGCCAAATTTTCAACCAACACGATTTATAGGTGATTTTACAATAAAGCCCTTTTGCAATAATTTATAGGGTTTCACATACAAGGCATAATGGTAAATTATTATAAAGCTAATGTCAATGTTAGGATTCATTAAATGTGGCAGATGCATGAGACCCGCACTTGATATAAAGTCTATCCGAATGAAAGATTGGATGGGATATAGAGATATTATCATCACACCAGCGATTTCATTGCACTGGTTCGGATAAAATTGACTTCAAAATCCTATCCAGCTTAATCGAATGTTGGCTACCCAAACACGCCCCTAATGAATTGTTGGAAGTGGTCCAAGCGGTACTCAAGTCCCCTGGACAACCAGTGACTTGATTATTTAGTTTGTACGTAAATGGAGCAAATGCAACAAAAGACGTACTTTAACAACTTTCGGTCAGTCCTATGACCTGCTCCAAGCTTCATGTAATTGATAGGAATCGTAATGGGATCGGAAGAGAAAACATGAATAAGGAGCATACACAAAGCACGGGTTTTGGCACCGGAATACCTTTTTCGGCCTTTTGGCTAAAATACACAAAACACAGGTTAACAAAGAAACAATAAAAGCAACCCTACTTTTGTTAGATGCTTTTGGACAGCAAGAGCACCCGCCTGCGATACTCAGCTAAAGCCCACAATGGATATATATTCCTGTACGCCGCATAGTGTAACATGCAATTTTTCATGAAAACTCCAGTGATTTCCTGCATGAATAGTGTATGTGTGGTCAGACAATGCTGTAAGCAGAAGGTCAATGCCATGAGATGTTTGATTTCTTTTGAAAGTTTAATTGTGTTGGGATGAAACAATGCCAGATTATACTTTGACTCCTTCAGCTATCCCCGCAATTTCACTTTGTCCGGTCAACTATTGAACTTCTCATATTGCATCTTAACTCCTTAATTGGTTTTACATTGTCCAAAACCAAACATTCGACATGTTTTGTACAAAAAATATCCAAATATATTGTAAACTATGCATTTCTAATATCTACAATTGGAGTAATGTGAAACTAATTTCCATTGTTGAAGGTATACTATGAAAACACGGTAAGTGAGGGGGCAACGTGAAACTTATAACTATAGTAGGAGGTGCATTATGAGAAACGCGACAGTTGAATAGATAGTGCAAGACATGAGACAGTTAGAGGGTCAAAGTGTAATTTGTCCATTAAAAAAATTAGAATGCAGCTACATGTTTCATGTCCAAGCAAATCTGCTATTTTCTGTCCACTTGTTTTCCTTATTTTTTGGGTTAATAACACTTTTAGTCCCCAAAGTATATCCGTTTTGCCAGTTTGATTCTCTCAATTTGGTCCCTAAAGTTTTAATTTGTATCACTTTGGTTCCTAATTAGATAATTCATTAAGTTTTTTGACGGAAATAATCACGTGTCATTCTTTCAAACGTATCACTTATCCAACACGCGATCATTCTGTCAAAAACTTAACGGTTTGTCTATATAGCGATCATTTAAACACAAATTAACAAAATTGATACTTTAGAGACTAAACTGACTAAACGTGCATACTTTAGGGACCAAAAATGTTATTAACTCTTATTTTTTCTCGAGAGGAAATAAAAGTATCTCAATATTTAAGCAATTACAACTCCGTTTGGCTAACATTGAAAACAATATGTCCTGAGATGTTTGATTTCTATCAAATAATTGTATATGACTGATAAATCATTGCATAGTGCAGCAACATGTATTATGTTCCGGTAATAGTTCCTTTTTTGATATTCTCATGTTATAGTTCTTTTTCTTTCAATTTCTTTGGTGCTAAGTTGTTCATCTAGTTTACCTGCTGGGGAAAATCGCCATTTTCCATCTGAGAATTGATCAACAGCTTTGCTGCCCGGTGAAGAGGTGTTGGGTCTCTCCCCTCCTACCAAATAGAAAACATTGGAATCAATATTTTTTTGTTAAAAAAAAAGAGCATATATAATGATAATAATGAGGTGATGGAGTGACCCAATGGTAAATGTCTACCCTCCTCCCCCCCCCAAAACAATAAAAAAAAAAATTGAAACAAAACAAAATAATAATATGAGAACATGTGAACTACATAGTATCAAAGCAGCAAACTAACCTGACCAGAGTGAATGAGACCCATCATAGCCCATCCAGTATGTACCAAATTTGATGAGTTTCCTTCTAGAGGAGTATATTCCTGTTTAATCAAGCATCAAGTTTATGAGTTTAAAGTTAGGGAGAGAATTGTGAGAGGCACAGACAATACCCCCAGCGAGTATTGAACATCATTTAATGCTATCACAACATCAACTAAGTCAAATTACATCACTCTTTTGGTATTGAACATCATTTATATTTTGAACTGTTTGGGCACAACCATTACCTTGTTTGGGCAGGAAACGTAGCTTTCTCCCCAACCGCCATCATTCCTCTGTGTTTTTAGCAGAAAATCAACTGCTTTACGGACAGCTGGACAATTATTGTATGTCATGCCTGCCTCTGCCAGACCTCCAAGAGCAAACCAGGTGCCATATGTGAAGCACACACCCCAGTTTCCATACCTGTAAATTGCTTCTTCGTGTCCTTTAAAAGGGAAAAAATTTGAAACTGGAACATAAATAGAATCAGTAGTACTTCAGAGGAGAAGCATACCATGAACCATCAGGCATCTGTATGTCAACAAGGTACCTAACAGCGTGTGTAATAAAACTTTCAATCTCTTTCTTCCTGTGTCCAGGATATGACTTTTTAAATAAGACCAGAGCCTGGATTGCCGATGAAGTGCACTCAACATACCTATATCACTATTTGGTAAGTCTCACTAATTCGCATAGAATGTGGAGAGTAAAAAAATTTAAACAAACATAATGAATCTTACTCATGCTCAATGACAATGTCTGCGAAGAATTCTGTAGGATTGAGCAGCTGCGATGAAACAAAAGAAAATGGAAAATTCAATTCACACTGCCACAGTGGCAAATATGAAGATTATTTGTAAGTTGATGAATATACCTCCAACCATTTGTAAGCTCCTGCAGGCTCCCAAGCTGATAAACCACCATTTTTGCTCTGTCATAATTCATTTAAAATATATACTTACTAATACTCGCTTCTCATGTCAATTCTGGAGCACAATTCTATAAGTGTAATATGAGAAAAAAGAAAGCCTTGGTTTATTGTATCATTGAAACATTTCAAGGGTTCAAGAGAATTTTGTCAAAAAAAATGAGTTGAGACCTTGACCAAAGGGCATACCTGTAGAGACAACAGTATATTAACTGAATCATATAGTTGCTCAGGTCCCATTTTCTCGCCAACAATTTCCGGTGGCATCAACGAAAAAAGGAGGCAACACTGAACAACAAAAATTGGGAAACAAAAAAGATTATTGAGAGACTATCTTATAGTGGTAATAAGTTATTGCTGCAGCCTTAGATTTGAGTGAGGGTTCTGCAAAAAATTGTGTACCTTAAGTCCTTCTGCAGTGCAATCAGAAACTTGCCATCCATGATCTTGATCTGAGAAGGTCCATGATCCTTTAGAAATGTGGCGATACATGCTCTTAAAGTCGCCAGAAGGATTTTCCTTGACCTGCAAAAATTTTGTGGATAGTGTTAAACAATCGAGTCAAAAAGATACTTATAAGAGAAAAGTTGTAATGCCAAGTACAACAAAGAAATGTTCTACAAAATGTACACTGATACCTGGGACTGCTTCACGAAATCATGTCCTTTCAAAAGTGTAGGTCCAATTTCATCAGTGAGGTCACAAGCTAGCAGTGCCTGAATGGCGAACCCGGTATCCCACTGTTGACTACCGAAACNTCCACTTGTTTTCCTTATTTTTTGGGTTAATAACACTTTTAGTCCCCAAAGTATATCCGTTTTGCCAGTTTGATTCTCTCAATTTGGTCCCTAAAGTTTTAATTTGTATCACTTTGGTTCCTAATTAGATAATTCATTAAGTTTTTTGACGGAAATAATCACGTGTCATTCTTTCAAACGTATCACTTATCCAACACGCGATCATTCTGTCAAAAACTTAACGGTTNACTCTGCATTCAAGCATCAACAAGGAAACTCAGAAGTTCCAACCAACAATACTAGAATGAAAAGTTAGCGTTGTGTTATGACACAAAAAACATAAATGAGCACATGAACGTAGCCTCAAAAGTCAGATGAATAAAGTTGGAAANCGATCATTCTGTCAAAAACTTAACGGTTTGTCTATATAGCGATCATTTAAACACAAATTAACAAAATTGATACTTTAGAGACTAAACTGACTAAACGTGCATACTTTAGGGACCAAAAATGTTATTAACTCTTATTTTTTCTCGAGAGGAAATAAAAGTATCTCAATATTTAAGCAATTACAACTCCGTTTGGCTAACATTGAAAACAATATGTCCTGAGATGTTTGATTTCTATCAAATAATTGTATATGACTGATAAATCATTGCATAGTGCAGCAACATGTATTATGTTCCGGTAATAGTTCCTTTTTTGATATTCTCATGTTATAGTTCTTTTTCTTTCAATTTCTTTGGTGCTAAGTTGTTCATCTAGTTTACCTGCTGGGGAAAATCGCCATTTTCCATCTGAGAATTGATCAACAGCTTTGCTGCCCGGTGAAGAGGTGTTGGGTCTCTCCCCTCCTACCAAATAGAAAACATTGGAATCAATATTTTTTTGTTAAAAAAAAAGAGCATATATAATGATAATAATGAGGTGATGGAGTGACCCAATGGTAAATGTCTACCCTCCTCCCCCCCCCAAAACAATAAAAAAAAAAATTGAAACAAAACAAAATAATAATGAGAACATGTGAACTACATAGTATCAAAGCAGCAAACTAACCTGACCAGAGTGAATGAGACCCATCATAGCCCATCCAGTATGTACCAAATTTGATGAGTTTCCTTCTAGAGGAGTATATTCCTGTTTAATCAAGCATCAAGTTTATGAGTTTAAAGTTAGGGAGAGAATTGTGAGAGGCACAGACAATACCCCCAGCGAGTATTGAACATCATTTAATGCTATCACAACATCAACTAAGTTAAATTACATCACTCTTTTGGTATTGAACATCATTTATATTTTGAACTGTTTGGGCACAACCATTACCTTGTTTGGGCAGGAATCGTAGCTTTCTCCCCAACCGCCATCATTCCTCTGTGTTTTTAGCAGAAAATCAACTGCTTTACGGACAGCTGGACAATTATTGTATGTCATGCCTGCCTCTGCCAGACCTCCAAGAGCAAACCAGGTGCCATATGTGAAGCACACACCCCAGTTTCCATACCTGTAAATTGCTTCTTCGTGTCCTTTAAAAGGGAAAAAATTTGAAACTGGAACATAAATAGAATCAGTAGTACTTCAGAGGAGAAGCATACCATGAACCATCAGGCATCTGTATGTCAACAAGGTACCTAACAGCGTGTGTAATAAAACTTTCAATCTCTTTCTTCCTGTGTCCAGGATATGACTTTTTAAATAAGACCAGAGCCTGGATTGCCGATGAAGTGCACTCAACATACCTATATCACTATTTGGTAAGTCTCACTAATTCGCATAGAATGTGGAGAGTAAAAAAATTTAAACAAACATAATGAATCTTACTCATGCTCAATGACAATGTCTGCGAAGAATTCTGTAGGATTGAGCAGCTGCGATGAAACAAAAGAAAATGGAAAATTCAATTCACACTGCCACAGTGGCAAATATGAAGATTATTTGTAAGTTGATGAATATACCTCCAACCATTTGTAAGCTCCTGCAGGCTCCCAAGCTGATAAACCACCATTTTTGCTCTGTCATAATTCATTTAAAATATATACTTACTAATACTCGCTTCTCATGTCAATTCTGGAGCACAATTCTATAAGTGTAATATGAGAAAAAAGAAAGCCTTGGTTTATTGTATCATTGAAACATTTCAAGGGTTCAAGAGAATTTTGTCAAAAAAAATGAGTTGAGACCTTGACCAAAGGGCATACCTGTAGAGACAACAGTATATTAACTGAATCATATAGTTGCTCAGGTCCCATTTTCTCACCAACAATTTCTGGTGGCATCAACGAAAAAAGGAGGCAACACTGAACAACAAAAATTGGGAAACAAAAAAGATTATTGAGAGACTATCTTATAGTGGTAATAAGTTATTGCTGCAGCCTTAGATTTGAGTGAGGGTTCTGCAAAAAATTGTGTACCTTAAGTCCTTCTGCAGTGCAATCAGAAACTTGCCATCCATGATCTTGATCTGAGAAGGTCCATGATCCTTTAGAAATGTGGCGATACATGCTCTTAAAGTCGCCAGAAGGATTTTCCTTGACCTGCAAAAATTTTGTGGATAGTGTTAAACAATCGAGTCAAAAAGATACTTATAAGAGAAAAGTTGTAATGCCAAGTACAACAAAGAAATGTTCTACAAAATGTACACTGATACCTGGGACTGCTTCACGAAATCATGTCCTTTCAAAAGTGTAGGTCCAATTTCATCAGTGAGGTCACAAGCTAGCAGTGCCTGAATGGCGAACCCGGTATCCCACTGTTGACTACCGAAACTCTGCATTCAAGCATCAACAAGGAAACTCAGAAGTTCCAACCAACAATACTAGAACGAAAAGTTAGCATTGTGTTATGACACAAAAAACATAAATGAGCACATGAACATAGCCTCAAAAGTCAGATGAATAAAGTTGGAAACAACTTCATTCTCAGTTACATATTTGAGCGGATATATTGAGACACATTTCAAAGATGGTGATTGGACTTTCGTTCTAACCTGCATCTTGATTCCATCTTCAGCAACCCATATATAGTCTGGGATCCTAGCAAGGTGTCTCTTGAAGTAATCCCCATTTGGATCCTCAACCCAACAAGCAAGCATACATAATACCTGCTCAAATCAAGCAGTATTTAATAAAAGAAACCACAGATAGCAAGTACACATATAGTGCCACATGGGCATCTACATTTTCATAGATAATCTTGTTCATATCACAGCTACATTACCTTTTCCACACATCCAATGGTTATGTATCGACTATTCTCATCTTCATAGTGTATGAGTCTCATTGTCGTTTGAAGAGCTTTCTCTCTCAACTTGTTAAAGGGCCAACGGGTCAGAAAAGGTTCAGTGCATACATAGAGACTGTCCCAGAGTAAATCTTGTATTAAGGGATGAGGATAGTAGAGGTCCTCCTGCAAGAAGTTTGCAGTCATTTCATGTGCATGTAGAAACATGTATAAAGATTGGGAAAATGACGTAATGATAGAGATCAGCATCAAGTAAAAACAAATGCAGACATCAGCATCTTAAATTTTAGTAGACATACCTTTGCACACACATGGCGTACTTTTCTCCAATTAATTTGATGGTATGGTTGAGCATAAAGTTCTTCTCTCAAGTGTAAAACAAGGGGAGTGATTGGGCCAACAAACCTTCTCCCATATAAATATGACATGGGCAGGTAAACGAGCCGACAATAGCACCACATATTTGCTGCAACAAAGGAAAACATAAGTGAAAATAAACCAAAACAAAGATTGCAGCTAATTATAGTTTGAAAAGGCACAACTTTCCTAATCGAAAGCAAGAGATCATCCGTTTGCAATGGAGCCAAATTATCTTAAAATGATTGCTGAGATTAGTTTTGGAAAACTGAGTGAACCTGGATGTATAGGAAGGAATGAAGGAAGCATCCAATACTCTGGGGGCATTGGGTTGGTCCCAGACCAATCAAATATTCCAAGTATCTGAAAAACATAGAACAATGAATGTATAAGATTTGATCTGCAGGCATCAGACACAACAATCTTAAGAGTTTTTTTTTTCCTTTGGATGACAAAACTTATTGTGAATTCTTAAATGACCATACCGAAAGCCATGTCTTGCCCCAGGAAGGTATTGCTGTCACACTACCATGGTCAAGAATCCATTTTCGCGCTCTAGCACAGGCATTGTTTTTACCACCGTCAGGTCCTTCTCCAAGAATACGCATACAAATGTAGCTGAGAGTGGTGCAGAACATGACACTATGGCCCTCGATGTGAAATCCCCAGCCACCATCTTCATTCTGTAATGGGAGATGTACTTCAGATGATAATGTAGGTGCAACTGCTTGACAAACTCTAGTTGAATTTCGGCATCTTATACAATGATCAGATCATAAAAAAATTTACCTGATGACAATAGATGTACCGAAGAATTTCTTTGCGATGTTCTGCTGGGAATACAGTGGTAAGATGCCCTGTAATATACAAGCACATAACCTGCATTTTTCGGTTTCCAAAAGAAAAATATGAGAATTAATTGTGGCATTTAAGTTAATAAAATATTTGAACCTAATGTGACAGATCTAATCAACTATACAAAATGAAACCAATTCTCAAACAACCTAACTCAAACCCCAACTAATACAAAATCAAATATAATTGTTAAAAAAACCCAATCGGACCCAAACCTGAATCCGATGGGTGAGGATCCTCTGCTATTAGAAAATTAACAGAAGAAGTATTGTTGAGTTTTGTTTCAAAACGATGTTGTTTTGTTAAATAGAACGACGTTGTTTTAATATAACACGATGCTGAGGAGCCGGACCCGAATCCGACACCCCCTCATTGTTTGGAAGGTAACACCCCATCATTATTTGGGGCTATTTCATCGAATACCAATATATTATCTAAACCCCTGTTGATTGTAAGTGTTTTCTAGGTCTACTCTTTTGCTTACCCGGAATAACCCTATTCCTTTCACCAAACCCTAACCCAATCCAACCAATTGTCAAACAAACCGAATCCCAACCCACACCCCATTACGAAAAATTCCAACCATTTTCCAAACAAAAATCTGAGATTCTGAATATCTCTCCTCTTTCTTACCAATCAACACCAAATGACAAGAGATGTCAATGTATGTGTCTGTTATTCTGCAATGGTGATAAAATGAGAAATGAAATCGACAAGTACAACACAGCATGACAATTGAGAGAAGACTCACTCACCAATGGTGGTAGGAAGAACAAGGGGCCAGCATTTTCGGCTGGCCAATGACCGTCACTGGCTTGTAAGGCTGCAAAGAAGTGGACAGCCCTCCTCAGCGTGGATGTGGCTATTTCATAAGTAATTTCCTCACCATCTTCAACCTTCACTTGTGGAATAGTTTGTTTGAAATTCTTCTCTCTAAGGAACTGCGATCGTGGCGGAAACACATAGATGAATGATGGTACTGGGTGTCAATAAGAAATCCAAACACTAACAACAAATTTCAAACATGATTTTCCATAAATTCAAGCTTTTAGTTCAACAGACTTCCATACATTAGCAATAGGGAGAATTACGCACTCTGAGATTACGCGGATATTTGAAATATTAAATAATTACATTTGCTATTAAATAATATAAAATATCTGTTAATATATTTATTAATAAATTATATTCATACCTTTTAAATTTGGCAAACGTACTCTACTTAAATTTTTTTAGCGGGCCTACTCATTTCACAATTATCCAAAAAATAATATGTATTTGAGTTTTAACTGCTGAGTTTCATTTAGACAATGTAATGTTTTTCTTAATTTAATTGAGGATACAATTTGTAACAATTGATCTTTGAGACTAGAAATTAAAATCATTTTAATCTTTTGGGGTGCAAATTGCTATTTATTCTAAAAATACTACAATAGTGGTAAAAACACCCACAATATAGTAATTTTTTTTATACCANAACAATCTTAAGAGTTTTTTTTTTCCTTTGGATGACAAAACTTATTGTGAATTCTTAAATGACCATACCGAAAGCCATGTCTTGCCCCAGGAAGGTATTGCTGTCACACTACCATGGTCAAGAATCCATTTTCGCGCTCTAGCACAGGCATTGTTTTTACCACCGTCAGGTCCTTCTCCAAGAATACGCATACAAATGTAGCTGAGAGTGGTGCAGAACATGACACTATGGCCCTCGATGTGAAATCCCCAGCCACCATCTTCATTCTGTAATGGGAGATGTACTTCAGATGATAATGTAGGTGCAACTGCTTGACAAACTCTAGTTGAATTTCGGCATCTTATACAATGATCAGATCATAAAAAAATTTACCTGATGACAATAGATGTACCGAAGAATTTCTTTGCGATGTTCTGCTGGGAATACAGTGGTAAGATGCCCTGTAATATACAAGCACATAACCTGCATTTTTCGGTTTCCAAAAGAAAAATATGAGAATTAATTGTGGCATTTAAGTTAATAAAATATTTGAACCTAATGTGACAGATCTAATCAACTATACAAAATGAAACCAATTCTCAAACAACCTAACTCAAACCCCAACTAATACAAAATCAAATATAATTGTTAAAAAAACCCAATCGGACCCAAACCTGAATCCGATGGGTGAGGATCCTCTGCTATTAGAAAATTAACAGAAGAAGTATTGTTGAGTTTTGTTTCAAAACGATGTTGTTTTGTTAAATAGAACGACGTTGTTTTAATATAACACGATGCTGAGGAGCCGGACCCGAATCCGACACCCCCTCATTGTTTGGAAGGTAACACCCCATCATTATTTGGGGCTATTTCATCGAATACCAATATATTATCTAAACCCCTGTTGATTGTAAGTGTTTTCTAGGTCTACTCTTTTGCTTACCCGGAATAACCCTATTCCTTTCACCAAACCCTAACCCAATCCAACCAATTGTCAAACAAACCGAATCCCAACCCACACCCCATTACGAAAAATTCCAACCATTTTCCAAACAAAAATCTGAGATTCTGAATATCTCTCCTCTTTCTTACCAATCAACACCAAATGACAAGAGATGTCAATGTATGTGTCTGTTATTCTGCAATGGTGATAAAATGAGAAATGAAATCGACAAGTACAACACAGCATGACAATTGAGAGAAGACTCACTCACCAATGGTGGTAGGAAGAACAAGGGGCCAGCATTTTCGGCTGGCCAATGACCGTCACTGGCTTGTAAGGCTGCAAAGAAGTGGACAGCCCTCCTCAGCGTGGATGTGGCTATTTCATAAGTAATTTCCTCACCATCTTCAACCTTCACTTGTGGAATAGTTTGTTTGAAATTCTTCTCTCTAAGGAACTGCGATCGTGGCGGAAACACATAGATGAATGATGGTACTGGGTGTCAATAAGAAATCCAAACACTAACAACAAATTTCAAACATGATTTTCCATAAATTCAAGCTTTTAGTTCAACAGACTTCCATACATTAGCAATAGGGAGAATTACGCACTCTGAGATTACGCGGATATTTGAAATATTAAATAATTACATTTGCTATTAAATAATATAAAATATCTGTTAATATATTTATTAATAAATTATATTCATACCTTTTAAATTTGGCAAACGTACTCTACTTAAATTTTTTTAGCGGGCCTACTCATTTCACAATTATCCAAAAAATAATATGTATTTGAGTTTTAACTGCTGAGTTTCATTTAGACAATGTAATGTTTTTCTTAATTTAATTGAGGATACAATTTGTAACAATTGATCTTTGAGACTACAAATTAAAATCATTTTAATCTTTTGGGGTGCAAATTGCTATTTATTCTAAAAATACTACAATAGTGGTAAAAACACCCACAATATAGTAATTTTTTTTATACCAAAAAAAATCATAAAAATAATTATTACAACAATGATAAAAATATTTACAAAAATAATAAATTTTTTGGCTGTAATATGACCCACAAAGTTATAAAAACACATATTGAATTAGTAAATTATGAAGGTACAATACCGATTTTTTTTTTTTCCAGTACTCTAGTCAAGTCCGATAAAAAAAAAATCCTGTTTAAATGATATCTTTAAGTTTTTTTTTTTTTTAACAGAGACAATAGATTATATCTTGTGTTTTTTAATTTTTTCTGAAACTATATATGTCTAAAAACTAGTGTTTTTTTAAAATTTTAACCTTTTATTCTTAGTTTTTCAAAAACTTGATACAAAACTCTATTATCCAAACAACTTCTTTTTATTTTTCATATCAAAAAAACAAAAAACTGTTTTATAGATACAAACCAAGCTGGCCAACCAAACCTTTCAACCTATAGTATTGTCTATATTTAAAAATTTGAATGATTTGAATTTGAGTTGAAATTAGATTCAATTCATATTTGAGTCTCATATTACGTGATTTGAGGTGAATTTCGATTTAACTAAAGTTGAATTCGGGTTATGTTTCAAAAGCATGAGGCCTCAATTCAAGTCCTATCCGTTTTTAAGTTGGGCTGAGATTTTTTTTTTCTACTCCCAAACTAACTCAGGCATTAGAAATATGTACCCTAGTATTAGAGGTGTCAAAATTTGACGTAACACGATTAATCGACACGAATTAAATCGGTTTGAGTGAGATTTTAACGGATTTGAGTGATAAATGAGTTGAAACACTAAACACGTTTAATAAACAGATCGTGTTCGGGTGAGACCTGTTAAACTGTTTATCACACGTTTACTCATTCAAATAAAATTAATATAATAATAAATTAATAATTATTTTAAAAAATTAACAAGAAAAAAAGAAATTAATTAAAAAAAAGTAAAATAGTAGTTTAAAGATAAAAGAGAGAAGATGATGAGCACTTCAAAGATAAATGCAAACCACATTGGAAAATAAGGGGAGATGGGGAGGATTGAATTGCCTATAAAAAGTAATGGCCTTTTGTTTTTTTTTTTTTTAAAAACTTTCAAGTCTTATTTTTATGAGATTTGATTAAAAATTCATCTTTTTTGAGGTAAGTGCAATTGACAATAAAAAAAAGTAGAGTATTAAATTTTGTTTATATAATTTTTTTAAATTTAAACGGGTTAAAAGAGTCGTGTCATATTACCCATTTATTAAATGAGTCGTGTTCGTGTTAAAATTTTTTATCCGTTTATTAAACATGTGTACGAGTTTATATATTTTTCACTTATCATCCGTTTAACTNATATTTTTCACTTATCATCCATTTAACCCGACATGTAACCGTTTAACTCAACATGTTTGACACCCCTACCTAGTATTGAAGATTTTGGCTTGAACTTGGATTAGGTTGTAATTGTTTTTTCCAAATTATGCCTTTAACTAGGGTACAAACATCTATATTTTTGATTTAATATGATTTTTTTCTTGGATATAATAAAATGTAAGAATTAGTATAATTTAGTACCACTTCATCCTATTCCTACTGCCATCAAAGTATTTGATTTGTCTTTAAAGGGACCAAAGAGAAATGAACCAAGCCAAGTATTTGGTATCTTTATGTGGGTGAATTGTTTATGTATATCGAGGGGAGAGTTGATCATCGAACTGAGCTACTCAAATTCGACTTGTTTTACGTTCGTTTAGGTTTAACTCGTTTTTTAAACCAAGGGTGGCTCAACAATATTTGAGGCCTAAAGCAATGACGGTTAATAATACTTTTATATTTTTTTAATAATAATTTAATATTTCTATTATTTTTACTTTTTGATCAGATTCGAAATTACAATTTTTTTATTTAAAATTTTCTAATTTAATTTTTTAATTAATAATATGACTTTTGATCATAAATATTTATAAGAATAAAATTAATTTCTTTATTAATATTTTTTACGTTCTTTTTATTTGTTTTATATGTTCTTTATCGAAATTGTGCAATTAAATGATTGACTTTATTATAAATAAATTCATTGTTATCTTTCTTTTAAATTATTTTACTATCTTTGAATTTTATTTATTTATCCATGTAACTTTCACCTAAATTTGTGTTATATTTTATTTGTTACGAATAAGAACTTTATCAAAACATTTTTTTTAATGAGAATGAATGGTTTAATTGGTATTTTGCGTTCAAATAAGAAATAAACAATCAAGTTTAAGAGAAGTAAAACATGTGTTTGATTTTATTTATTTTTCACTTAAGAGAGATGTTTATTACACTTCTTTTGATTGGAAAAATAGATAGATTTTGTCAGAATTTTTTTTGTTAATCTTTTTTGTTGTTTAATAAATGTGATTGTGTGAGGATGTCTGAACTTTTGGGCTCAAATTTTTAATTTTTTTGTTGGTTTACTCTTTCAACAATTAATTTTTTAAGCAATATTGTAATAAATTTTATTTTTTAACTTATATTATATTATTGATTTTTAAATTTGAGGTCTTTTCGTATGTGGGGCCTAAAGCCCCGCTTTTGTT